TATGACTTTACAGCTTTAAGGCAAGCAAAAAGCTCATTCTATAGTCTCTTTTTATTTGTGTAAATCACAATCATATAATTTACAAACAGAATGAAACCAGTTATAGTTTACAAATCTGGGTTTGCAAGAAGGAATATAGTAAAGCAATAAAGCCAAACTTTCCGACAATGAAGAAGTAATACTCTAGTAATATCAATATAGTACTACATCACCATAAATTTCAGAGCATTAGTCTTGTACTCCAACAGGTAAAATAAATAAGAATGATAAATGTAGTTGATGCCAAAATTGATACTTCAAAAATTGCAGCCGCACGTTATGCGTAGAATGGCTGCAAAAAAGATATTTAGAAGGTTCCAATCTAAGAGAACGAAGGACGGAGCCGAACGGAGGCCGACTCCACAAAATATGAACAGTAAGAGACATCTACATTGAAGAACAAATAACCTGATTATAAAGAGTACTGAAGTTATATATATAAAGCTAGGACAAAAGGATAATAAAATCCCAAAAAAAAGAATAGCGCAGCCAGGTTTCGATCCTGGGACATCAGGGTTATGAGCCCTGCGCGCTTCCACTGCGCCACTGCGCTCTATTCTTGATGATAGTGCCATCTTCAAACAACATGAATAAAGAAACATAGATTTCAAGAAGCAGTTGGTAACTAAGTACGACGGTTCTGATTTTTCTATTAAGTTGATGTTATACTAACTTCATCTACGTTTAAATTAAGCAGTATTCTTATCATCAGCTTGAGTTGATTAGCATATCCGTACCCAGCAGAATAGCCTAGGAGGAGTGCAACACTGTGCAAATGTCATCATACTATACACTGTTATCTACTTTCTTGAGAAGACTATTAAATAAAATTAATTCAACTAGTGACGACAGATCTTAAGCGTTTCGACTTAAAAGTCAATGCTAATGCGATTCAGAGGAACTACATGTCATGATAGTGTTCTACTTTTGTAAGTTAGTGTCTATCATTATATAGTCATTAGCAGAAAACGTCACGCACACGACTCCACTCGTTACATACTTTTTTTTTCTTCAGGTTTTTAAATTTTTCAATTCAACGAATCAAAGAAGCAAAGTTACCAAGGTATACTAGTTGATAAACACTCTTAAGATGCTAGGATTTTCTAATATCGGTCTTTCAATAAGACCAAAAGAAAATATCCAACTACTCTCCAAGCGTTTTGCATCATTTTTAGGACACTTAGAACCAAATGAAGGTGCAGTTAAGGACTACAGAAGACTTGGTAGAGGACCTTCTTCTGGATTGGGTAAAACTTCCGGTAGAGGTCAAAAGGGTCAAAAAGCTAGAGGAAAGGTGCCCATGTGGTTTGAAGGTGGTCAAACGCCATTTTTCAAAAGATTTCCTAAAACTGGATTTAACAGAGCAAATAAAAGAGTTTTCCATCAATTGAAATTAGAAAGAATTCAAGACTTTTGGGATAATGGTAGATTGACGGACTTGAAAGAAGGTGAAACATTAACTATTCATCATATGAGAAAGTTGGGCTTGATCACAGGATCTCTTAAGGATGGAGTAAAAATTTTATCTAATGGTAAAGAACTGTACAACGTGCCCTTAAACATTGAAGCATCACAGGCTTCCAGTCAATCTATCGCCAGAATTGAAGAGTTAGGACAAACCTTTAACGCTCACTACTTTACCCCATTAAGCTTAAGAGCACATATTTCACCTGACCACTTCTTGAGGACTAGAGGATATTTACCTTTAGCTGCAAGACCCACCCACAAGAGAGATGTCAAATACTACAGCAACCCTGACAAGAGAGGCTATTTGTTGAAAGATAGAAGTTTGTTATTAGATTTCATGGGTAAGACCCAAGAGAGAAAGAAGAGAGTTGAATTAAGTCACTTGGAAAAGCTGTTGGCTAATGCTTCTACAACAGTTGCTAAAGATTTCACACAATCTCAGACCATTTCATTAAAGGACTTGTAAGTTGAAAGAAGTAGTTAATAAGGAATCATTTAGGTGAGAGAGTCATCATGGAACGAGCTAGTTTCGTTCAAAGGTGCATCCATCTATAATTTGGAGGGCATCGTATGTACATAGATAGTTAGAGAAATAAATAGATGCTGGGTGGATTAAATATATAGTAGATACTCTAAGGTTCAGTTTAAGTCGTGGTAGCCGACTCTTCCATGTCTATAAACACCAGTAACAAGTTTTCTACTATATCTTGGATGTCATTTAATCGAACTGGAACAGGACTTAGTTGCTGCAGGTGCAGTTGTTTATTAAATCCATAGTTGAACTTCCTGACAGCAAAGATAGCGCATTGCTGTGTCATTTGGTAAATTTCTCTTACTGCAAGCTTTTCGTTTGAAACTTGAGAGGTAGAGCTGATGAATCCTGAAAGTCCTCTGAGTCTTAAACCTGAAAGAACAAGCTTGCTAATTGCCTGGGTTATTTGCTCGTTCGTTGTAAGTATTTGTGAAGAAAGTGCAGTCGTTTTAGATTGAACAGGGGACATTATAAACAGGTTCTGGGGCAGTTGCAGCTGTATTTGCAGTTGTTTCCTCCTTGAAAGTACCTTGTCAAAGATAGATGTATTTGGTATAGAAGGTGTACCAGTCGCCATTACTGAAATCGTAGAAGAAGAAGAAACATCGTCCTTCTCTATGAAACTAGTTTTATTTATATAAGGAATTGAAATCAAGGTTGATATGATATTAAAGTCAATTATGCAACATTTGAGTTTGAGTGAATCAATATGAAGGTAAACAGCGATATGAATATTATTGTCATTTACTGACAGAAAGGTTAATGCAATAGGTTTTAGAGTGTGCAAGGCAAGTTTTACCAATGTGTCTTTAAAGTATGACTCGGCGTCTTCTGAATTTGAATATATATCAAGGCCCAGGTTCAGTATTAAAAACGGTGGTATTATCTTATAGTCAATGTAATCGGTAACTCTTTTAAAGTCACCAGTAACCGATGTCTGAGAAGGTGATATGTCAACTTTTAGACGATTCTTCTCGTCAATGAGGTACATATTCAGGAACTATGCAATTATATAGACATAAAGACCTAATGTCTGTAGAATGTAAGTGATCAACGTAAAAGTGTTTTTAATCAATCCAGTGTGTACTTAAATTGAGTAAGTTTGGCCTGCATAAAGGTGTAAGGCTTAAGGGAATGATGCACTACTGGGTGCAAACAGTTCAAAATGGTATCATATAGAGGTATACAGAAAGAAGACAGAAGGCAACAGAAGTCAAACTTCAAGAGTACAGTAGGTAGTTTATGAAATAATAGGAAAATGACAATAGATTGGTGGTTAGAGCGATTCAACCTAATTCTCCATGTTGATCCAAACATACAATCAGACTACTATCCTTGGTTTCCATACTTTCAAGGTAATCATGCTTCTTTTCATTTTTATTTCTTTCAATTTTTTATACTTTTCTATACCTTCCAGTTCTGTACGCTATACCTGAATCTTCCAGCGCTGTTCTTCACCTTCCCACCATCAGCTCTTTTACCTTGGAATGCAGCCATTCCTTCTATTTACCTTTCGGTTTAATAGGCAAATCCGGCATATAATCAGCAACTTTTTTTTTGCATTTTCAATCATTCGTGTGATGAGCATTCCTTTAACGACACTCACTTATTGGAATAAAAACAGGAAGAGGTCATAACATTTCTAGCAATCTTAATCTATTTTTGATACGGTTTTGTTTATTCTGTTTTCATCTCAAAGTAGTACTACTTTGGAGGGCCGTTTTAACTAGGGCTAATAACAGGAAATCATTAATCTAGGGGATTGACCTTTTTGGAGGAAAATACTCTTCAGTTTGTGTTTGAGCTTGCGGACTAAATTCAAAAAGTAATCAACACTCAACTACGTAATATTTTGATTTGGAATACTTGAATCTTGTAAAAAGAAGTATCTTTGAGACGAGCAGAAGAAGAAAAAGTATTTTCTAGCGCTTGAACTTATACGTAAGAAGTCTCGATTCATAAGGTGTAAATAAAAATAGGGTGCGAGCATCACAGAACCATAGAACTACACGAGATAACTTCAAACTAGCACGTCTACCATGTCAATCAGCACTCGTGTTTATTCGGTATCTAAGGTATACGCCGACGTTAATTCTACCAAACCTTCAGAGTATTGGGACTATGAAAAGCATACTATTGAATGGGGCCAAATCAAGAACTACGAAATCATCAATAAGATTGGTAGAGGTAAATATTCTGAAGTATTCCAAGGTGTGAATATATTGAATGATGAACCTTGTGTTATCAAGGTACTTAAACCGGTTAAGATGAAGAAAATTTATAGAGAGGTAAAGATTTTGAAGAATTTGACTGGTGGTCCAAATGTAATTGGATTGCTTGATATTGTCAAGGATCAACAACTGAAAATTCCTGCATTGATCTTCGAAAAGGTAAATAATATTGATTTCAGAGTATTGTACCCTAAATTTACCATACCGGATATCCAATACTACTTCACCCAATTACTTATTGCACTTGATTACTCTCATCTGATGGGGATAATCCATAGGGATGTTAAGCCTCAAAATATCATGATTGATCCTTTAAACAAGAAGCTTAGATTAATTGACTGGGGGTTGGCCGAATTTTACCATTCAGGAATGGATTATAACGTTAGAGTCGCATCGAGGTACCATAAGGGGCCTGAACTTTTAATAAACTTACAACAATATGATTATTCCTTAGATTTATGGTCAGTTGGTTGCATGATCGCAGCTATCGTATTCAAAAAGGAACCTTTCTTCAGAGGTGACTCAAATAACGATCAGTTGGTTCAAATTGCTAAGGTCTTGGGTACTAAGGATTTAATGGCGTATGTGAATAAGTACGGAATTAGATTGTCTAAAGATTATGACAACATATTAGGGAACTATCCAAGACAACCATGGAGCAAGTTTATAAATTCTGAGGCTGAAAAATTCGTCAGCGACGAGGTTATTGATATTATCGATAAATTGTTGACCTATGATCATCAGTTGAGACCGACAGCTAAAGAAGCACTTGAGCATCCATTTTTCAAGATGAAATAGAGAAATAGAGAAGTATAAAACGAGTGGGCTACTATTTGCAAGAGGGATTCTATAGAATATTCATGCTCCTCTAAATCATATTTAAGTAGTTGCTACCTAATGCATCTGTGTATAATATTAAGTAATTAATTGACAAAACTGAAGAAAAAGAAATGAAGAAGATGATAGAAAAATATTCAAGTGTAGAAGGAAGATACTAAGAAATGTCCAAAGTTAAATTTATTCATCTAGAATGCTTTTTTGCACTCTCACTGTTTAGCCGTGGCATGTGAGTTCTTATTCATCTAGATATTCACGAATTCTGGGTCAAACAAAGACCTGATACACAGGCACAGAAAAATCTTGCAATCTAGGATAAATCGAATTAAAGTTCTAGAGAGTTAGTATATTTGATATTGCTACAAAGGCGGCTATAGTCAGACCATGAAAACCTTAAACCACTTGTCATTTTTGGCTAGTCGCACGCATCTCATACTATACTGCACTTCGACCCAACTGACACATACTCCCACTTTCTTACCATTGGGACATTTTATGTAGTAGGACCGACTAAGTCCGTTTGCAGCCATCGGAGTCATAATTCAATACACCGAATTGTGGAAGCTGTCATAGATCCTATTCGTTTTCGAGAAGTCCTTGTTTCAAAAAATATAATGGGTTGCGTTCCTGCGTTTTCAAATTCACAGAACAAATTTGAGCCTGCAAGCGTGGTGGTAGATCTCTCAGTTCTAGAATTCTAGGCGGAATCTCACATTATAAATTGACGATGGAAAAGAAAACAAACAAACCTTTCTGTTGCTGGACGCGAGGTGCTAATACATTGAAAAAATATTTAACTTTGAATGAGTTAGGTTTGAGATTTTTGGGACCAGATTAAGAGCATGTTTTGTACTAGCCCTGATATGTATCTGACTTGTCTTTTCACTGAAAGATCCATTTACCTCCAGGGTCCAATTACCCCTGAAACCTCCCATTATTCTCGTAAAATATTTTTAGCGAAATGCAAGCGCTCTTCCTACCTCTCACCATATGCAGATTTGCGCCAAATTTACTCTGAACTCTTCGTCGCGAATCGCGTTCAAGTAGGGAATATGGCAGAAAAACAAGCAAATACACAAAAAAAGTAAGGTGCAGCAATTCCATATGTAGTTGGTTAATTGAGGATTACGATAGGACGCCTCATCGTAAATTTCGCTTACCTTAAAATTTATGGCCAAATAAGATGAATAGTTCCTGGAATGGGATATGCTACTGGCGGAACGTTTCTTCATTTCGTTTTTAACACATTCTGACACAATTTCTTTTATTTTTTTTTTTCATTTCAGCAAAACCTTCAGTGTGTTCATATATTCATTCCTTTCTTCATTCATTCGTTTATCTATCAGCATAGTCTTTTAACTAAGGTACCACTATTACTACTGCTAGTTTTGCTGAGGATTGATACACCTTTTCAAAACATCACATTCGTTTACTCAAATTAACAACAAACAAATTATAATATTTTATGGCCATTTTCACCACCATATCTGTATTTCCATCTTGAACGCGTATGTCATTATCTGAAGTTCAACTATAGATCACATTAACTCATAATGTCAGACGAAAAATCATTAAAACGGTGGATAAACTCCAAAATCAACTCAGCGGTTATTAACCTTAGAACAGACTTGCTGAATGGGTTAATACTAGTGGAACTTATTAATAAAATTGTGCAGGAATCTCCAACATTCACAACTATAAAGAAAGGTACCGAACCAACAACTTATGTAATTAAACCTGTATACCCAAAACCTGCTTTCAGGGTTCAAATGATTGAAAATGTCTCTGACGCATTGGAATTCTTGAAAATCATTCTTCAAATTAACATAACGAACATAAGTGCTGAAGACATAGTTGAAGGGAACATAAAACTCATTTTGGGGCTTTTATGGTCACTCTCCTTATATTCCACATCCTCAACATTAACTAAAGTACTATCCAACGAATGCAATTCATTTCATAAGGTGAAAAGTATATTGAAAAACTGGATAAATGTGATAATAAGGAAAAGACATGGACTTTTGGATATCCAAAATTTCGATAGAGATTGGAGCTTGGAAAATAAAAGACCGGATTTAATTTTGGCTAGTGTATTAGAACATTACTTAGGGAAGAAGCTGGGCTTCATAGATTATTCACAATTAGAACGTAATGGAAGGAAGTTGCAAAACATTTCAAAAGTTTTCGAAGTGGCTAGAATGCTTGGAATACCTCAACTTGTTGACGTAGAAGACTTTGTACGGTTTGTCCCTGACGAAAGGTGCATTATATTATATATAGTCGAATGGTTTAAAGTCTTTGAGATGGAAGACGATGAAGATGACGGAGAACAGTCTATTCAAACATCTAATTCAGCTGGATCTGAATCAATAGATATCCCATTCATCTTAATGAATGACAATAGGACGAAACGAAGGAGTAGGGCATTCAAAATGGTGGAAGCTGCTCATAGAAATAACTATAACAAAGATAAAGCACTTCCAAAGCTTCCTCAAGAGGTAGAAATGACTAAAAAAAGTTCAAATTTAAGAATCAAACATCCTAAACACAACTCGGAAAGTAGCTCAGAAGGGAACGACATAATATTGGATAAAAATGATTTGAAATCAGCCAGAGCACAGAAGAAGACAAAGAAGCTGAAAAAATCTACGCATAAGAAGTCTACCACAGTTAAAGGTATCGCAACCATTCAACAAGTTTCCCCAGTTAGGATAACTCAAGTTCAACAGGTTAAATTACTGCCAGCAAGGCAAGAGAATGTGATATCTCAACAACACTCTAGACAGACAGAAGTTGTCCAACATAATTTGGAACCTGTACATATAAACTTCACTCAAGCTAAACCGGTAACTAACACCCAAGAACCAATATTGAGAAAAGAGCCTAAACTGCTAGACCCCCAAGTAGCGAGCCTGATAGTTAGTCCCCCATTGCATTATAAGCTGCTCGACCCTGTATTACCCAAGAGGAAGGCACCTGCCTTTCTGGATCCCGTTTTGACAAAAGAAGGATTACCATCAAGTTTGCTGCTTGATCCCTTCATTGCTAACAAAAAAACAGAAACTCCCAGGCTGCTCGACCCTATTGTGCCCCAGCAATACCAAGAAATTAATAGGCTGCTTGATCCAATATTAGTTCAAGATAAGGTGCCTGTTGCTAAACAAGCTATTTCCGTTCAGCCTAACTCAAATTTCCAAGGTAGCAAACAACTCGACCCTATTTTGGTCAAGAAAGAGGAAGCAATCGGTGAACTGGCAGAGCCTATCAAGCCCAAACAAGTCGAACAAGTCAAGCAGGTGGAACAAGTTAAGCAAGTCGAACAAGTTAAGCAACTCAAACGGGTCCAGCAAGTCGAACAAGTTAAGCAAGTCGAACAAGTTAAGCAAGTCCAACAAGTCCAACAAGTCCAACAAGTCCAACAAGTCCAACAAGTCAAGCAAGTCCCTGATCCAGTTGCACAGCCCATACAAGTTGCACGAGATACACAAGGGGCACAAGGTTTCTTTGAACCATTTGAATTTGAGCGCTTTGACCTGACGGAGCCAACTAGTACCAATACGTTCCAAACATCGAGCAGTGCAGATACGCATGAAAAGAAGTCTTACTTTGAACCACATAAATCTCATAGCGTTGGCAATAAGAAAGAATCTACTGCTGAAGGGCAATCTTCTCAATTCAAGCAACACATTAGAGCGCCCATGTTCAAAGTGAGGCGAAAAGACCTGCCTATTCCGAAGCAAGCTACATTTCAACAGCATGTTCCTCAAATTCCTGTTGATGAAATTGATAAAGTACTCGAAACTAGTCCTAAAAAGCCTGATTCACCAATACAATCAAGAAAAAAGATGATTGAAGAGAACGAAGACCATGAACACATCGTCACCTCAAAACATGATATTCAACATACAGATGCAATAGTGAGTAATAATTCGCTGACAAAAGTTACCGTTTCTGCAACAAAGGATGCTATCGGGAAAATGGAACTGAAAATTGCAAAACCTCGAGAAGTAGTTGAGAGTACTAATGTTGATTCTCAAGTTAAATCACTAAAATATGCAGAGTCAAAGGGAATTGACAAGTCCAGCTACTCTAAAGAAGAAAATAACTTCAAGCAACCTATTAAAACCAATACGAGCGAATTATATCCCCAGAAAGAAGTAAAATCAAACGAACTTGGACAAGATCAAAATGATGTCCCTGTAGAATTGTCGATACAAGTTAAAGACAATAATTTACCGGTCATCTTACCTTCTGAGAACAAAATAGTAGCTCCTAAGATACCCAATGCTGGTGAAGCGGGCGTAACAGTTGTTCAGCATCCAGTGAAACTTGATACTAATGTGGGCAAACAGGTTCAAGTACAGCCAGCTAAAGCATTTGAAAAAGCCCAGAAGCAAGAGCCCAAGAAATTGAATTTTGCTAAGTTAATCGAAAAGTTTGAGCAGGGTAACCAATCATTACCTGTAAAGCCAATCAGACCAATAAAGTCCTTCAGGCCAACTGAACAAAAGAATCAGCCTAAGAATGTTGAAAACTTTATTCAACCACAAGTAAAGGAGAGCCGAATCCAACAAAGAGCGAAGGAAATTAATTCCGCTATTCAGAGTGATACCTTGGAAAGAAAGGCTTCAATTGGTGAACCAACAATATCTAAAAAGATTGACAGTACTGAAATCAAATTACCGGAAACTGACTCAAATCTTTCAAGTATACCAGATGCCACTGAGCTTTCAGTAAAGTCTGATGGAATCTCAATTGAAAGAAAGGGTATCTCTGACGCAAGTAAGCAAAAGGAAGACTCGGAGGAAACAGTCACTGAAGAAGGAACTAAATCTCACCAAGCGCCTGGAGTTAAACTAATTGTCAATGACAGTAATGTCCAATATGAGGAATCACCACCGATTAATATCATGTCAGTTGAACCTAGCGTAACGGAACAAAGCTCGGAGAAGAGTGAGCTTATATCTGTCCCAGAAATCTCAAATACTGGAGCACTTCAGAAAAAGAATTCAAGTGCGATATCAGATTCAGGACCATCTGACATTCCTGTAGACTCAATATCGCCTTACACTGACGTCAATGGTATCTTAGAGCAAAACGCAATTGAGGTACCACTGAAGGCTACTGCAAAGTATGATTCTGATAAAATATCTCCTATCAATGAACATGAAGCTAATTCAAAACCACAGAAGGTGGATTTGATTGAACCGAGATTGACCAATTTGGCTGAAAATGCAACAGGTATTGAACATTCCTTGGATAAAGTTACTCAACTGAAATCTTCAGATGTGAAATCATCCACGAAGGATTTGTCACATTCTGAGGCCAGCTCAACCAAATTAGATAATGTTCAATTGAACGACCAAGTGGAAGATTCCAAGCCAAGTGGAAGTGGTATTACGCCAGAAACTCTTAAAGAGTTCGAACAAGCTGAGCTTGAACACGTAAAAATTATCGAAAGGTTAGAACACCTTAAAAAGGCCGAGGAAACTAGACTAGTTAAAAATGCTTCCAACCAAGTGGGAAATGTTTCGAATGATAATTCCAAGATTAAAGATGAACCTGACCTAAATGATGCAGTAGAAACGGCTAAACCTGTGCAAAACGTTGAGCCACTCAAGCCGCTACGTTTGGTTAGAAAGCCTTGGACAACCACGAAGGTTGAAAGACTTGAATCACGCAAGCTGTACACACAATTTGAGGCCCAATATATAGTTGAATCTGTAAGGGAAATTGAAAGACTTCAACAACTAATTGAGGAAGTGAAGAATGTTGAGCAGTCCGAATATGCTAACCATGTTCAGCTAAAACCAATAGCAAAGACAATTTACGAAGAAGCAAAGGCCACTACTGAAGCTCCATTTATAAAAGATAGTTTAATTGAGCATATCAATGAAGTGGACGAGCCAGAAGCTACTGGCTCGAGCACTGATGAAGGAGAGCCTTTGAGCCTGACAAATAATTCGATATTATCAAAGGAAGTGACACCAAAGAAGAATAACGCAAACAAACAGAAGTTAGATCCTAAACTTTTGAGCACCGACGTAGAAAAGCTAGAGGATATCTCTACTTTAAGCTGTGCAAATGTTGAAGAGGAATCAGATGACATTTCGACCCATCAGAACGTTGAGGATAATGTAACAGAGCTGAAATTAATAAACACTGAAACTGAACCTGTTCAGGAAGCTGAAATATCTGATGAAGAAGACTTCACAAATCCGAGTGATCGGACATTGCACAATGTGCCTACGCCAATAAAATGTGAGACAGTCAAAAGTGAGCAACTCAAGGAACTACTCAGAAAGGTAGAACAACATAAGAGAGTAGCACAAATTACTGGAGACGAGCTTGTCGATGATCAACTTAGAAATGATCAAATTTCAAGAGATATACCTAACCAACCAGCCATGGAGGATGCTTACTTCGATGAACTGCCAGAACTGGGCACAACAGAACTACCTGTAGTGAATGAAAGTCTTTTTGAAATGGATAACACAACAGAAGAAACATTGAAAATATTGCAGCAGGTTGAATCTGAATACACGGAAGATTCTGCTTCAGTAGAAAAGGATCACCAAGATGTTCGTGAGAATGAAGTCGATGTATTAAAGGATCAAATTGAGAAAGGTATGCATGTTATTCCAACAGGAGAACCGGAGCTTGAAGCTAGCAAGAATTGCGATAACTTTGGAAAAATTGAGCAAATCAATAAACCTGAACCTGCTGCACCGGTAGAAGAACTTCTCTCTAGTATGAAGGAGCAAATTCTTGAACCTGAACTTCTTTCACCAGTGGAAATACCGGAAATAGAAAGCAGAATTGAAGAACCTCCCAATGGAATTGAATTTGGTGAGCTCAAGGAGCAAGTAAATGAACCTCAACTTGCTGTGCCAGCTAAAGAACATGGAGTTAGCAAAGATTTTTCAGTTGATGACCTTAAGCAGCAAACCAACGAAGATGAACCTGCTGCCACGTCCGAAATAGCTGAACTCAATATTAACAATGATAAAGCGGATAAAGAAGTAAAGCAATTTGAAGAATTTGAACCTGCGACTCCACTCGAAGAACACTATCTTCAGACGAAGACTGGTAGCACTAAGAAGCTAAAGGGCCATAAAGAAAAGTCGGAGCCGTTTACTCCTGTTAAGAAGTCTAAGAAAAAATCGAAGGGCAAAAGGGCAACTAATCTGGCGAAATCAAGTAAATCAAATAAGTCAGACAAGTTGGCAAATTCTTTGGTTTCTCCAACTGAATCATTTGCTACAATTGACTTTGATAGACCATTGGCCAATCGTGCCAATTCTTCCCCAAGGATTTACGTCCCGATTAGCAAACAACTCCCTTTGATTCCCTCAGTACATGGTACTGTATCGGATTCAGGATTTGATCTGCTTGATGGCGTAGTGATTGAACAAGTGGTAAATGTAAAGTCTTCCCCTGCCCAGCCGCAAATTATATGTTCATTGCCTAGTAGAATAAATTCTGCTGAAAAATTCTCAGCACCACCATCACCAACCGTCAAAGGGAAATGCTCTTCTGTTGATACCTTAACCAATCTAGACTCATCCTTGTCTGTTCTGGATGTAGTTAAATCGCCAACACCCACTCCATCATCAAATAAGCTTTCGAAGCCATTTTCAAATATTATTTCTTCAGTTAATAAGGAGCTCAGACACCGTCTAATACTTAATGGGTATGGAAATATGTCAGAGCCTCAGACTCCTCTTTCGAGTACTCCAACTCCAACATCCCATGAGCCCCGCTCGCCTCCAGTTGAACTGTTATGTAAACCTATCCGAGGTAAAAACAGCTATAATTATGGCTTTTCTCAACTTCAATTGAAGTCAAATTCCTTGGCATATACCATTAGCAGACATTCTCAGGAGGTCTCTAACTTAATTCCGTCATTTGAAAAGGATATTATTCAAAACATCATAAAGCATCTGAGAAAATGCTTTCAATTGATTCATAACATCGATGGAAAAGGTGCAATTTCTTTAACTCCTTTCGATGAAGCAATTAATTGCTTGAAACAATTGCAAGAATCATTGATTAGATTTGATTGTTATAAAGCAATTATAAGGAAAGACTTAGAGTTAGCACTAGACATTCGTGGGTTGGAATTTAGATTGCTGGAATTTATTACAGCAATGGACCCTACCCCGACTTCGTCTTCTACAACAACTCCTGAATCTACGGCTGCTCTAGTTTCTCCGGCATCAACTTCTTCGACATCTCCGGACTGGGTTTCAGAATTAGGACTGTTAATTGAGGTAGAAGAACAGTTTTCAATGAATGCGCTGATTGCAATTTGTGCTTTGGCCTCTGAATTTCTTGAAGTGGAAGAAAATATACCAGAAATGCTTGGAAAATTACCAGCAAATGGATCAAATGTAGCCTACAAGGCAAAGTTCGACCTCTTATGTGGCACTTTGGAAACCTTGGAAGATTACTTCGACAGCTTGGAAATAAATAAGTTCATATCAGATTTAAAGAGAAAAATGGAGAAGGGTAAACTAGGATTACAATCAAGAAGTACTTTACCAGTGAGCTTTCGTATGAAATCACAGGACAACTCCTTTAGACTGGAATTGTCAAAGAGTTACAGTGACTTCAGTATTTATAACTCCGATGCTAGTGCCTCCAGTTCATTATTCGAAAATTCATTAAATGTCTAGCAAATACGAAGTTACTACTGTTGAATAATTGGAACAATTTATAGAGAGAATATTTATTTTAACCAGAGGATAACAGATATTTGATAAAATACATCCTGTAGATACCTAGGAACTTATTCTTACAATAAAAAATTCATCTAATATTCGTTAATTTTCTAAAATCACAAATACAAACCTTCAAGATTTTCTTCTACCTTATTCTTAAGAATTCTTTCTTTTGCTTGTTTGAAATCATCAGCCTTCACTTGCATTCTTCTTTCTCTCAAAGCCAATAACCCAGCTTCTGTGCAAACAGCCTTGATATCAGCACCAGACAATTCATCCTTAGCAGTAATAAATTCATCTAAGTTAACATCTGGAGCTAAACTCATCTTAGAAGTGTGAATTCCTAAAATCTTCTTCTTTGTGTTCCCGTCTGGGTTTTCAAATAAAATCTTTCTATCAATTCTACCAGGTCTAATTAAAGCTGGGTCCAAACTTTCAATCTTGTTTGTAGCCATAATGACCTTAATATCACCTCTATCGTCGAATCCATCCAACTGGTTAAGCAATTCCAACATTGTTCTTTGAATTTCTCTTTCACCACCGGATGTGGACTCGTATCTCTTGGTACCAATGGCATCAATTTCGTCAATGAAGACAATTGATGGCGCATGTTCAGCTGCAATTTGAAAGATTTGTCTACACAATCTTGGACCATCACCAAGGTATTTTTGAATCAACTCGGAGCCCACAATTCTCAAGAATGTTGCGCTTGTTTGATTTGCAACTGCCTTGGCTAACAAGGTCTTACCAGTACCGGGGGCACCATACAAAATAACACCCTTAGGTGGTTTTATACCCATTTCTTCATATAATTCTGGATGTGTTAAGGGAAGTTCGACAGCCTCCTTGATTTCTTGTATTTGTGATTCTAATCCTCCGATGTCGGCGTACAGCTCTGTGGGTGACTTATCTAATTTCATAACGGAAACCATTGGATCTGCATCATCCTGTAATACACCAACAATGGAAACAGTCTTGTGGTGCAACAAGACCGAACATCCTGGTTCTAAAAGTCCCTTATCCACAAAAGACATTATTGACACGTAGTACTCAGGTCCTGCAGTAGATGAAACTATAGCATGATCGTCATCGATTATTTCTTCTAGGGTACCAATCAGCATGGGGTAACCTCTTAACTCGTCAACCTTTTCACGTTCTTCTGCTTGTTTAGCCTCAGTAGGTTGAAAAGCTTCTTGATTGGTGACAAATTCCTCTTCTAACAATAAATGATCCTTGATTCTTTCAAGTTTCAACAATTTCAACTTACATCTTGTGTTAGGGTACACAGCAGGGAGTTTAACTGCGGTGTCTGGTCCCTTTCTCTTCTTCTTTCCAAATTTAGACTCTACAGGTGGCTCATACTTTGGCTTTTCTTTCTTCTTATCATCCTTCTTCTTGTTTCCGCCGAATCCTTCGCCTCCTGGCATTCCTGAAGGTCCTTGTCCCTGTAAGTATTGTTAGTAGACGCCCAATTAAGAACACAGAGTATGAAGCAAGTTAAACGATACGCTAATTCCATCAATTCTCATCCTTTTTTCCCTGTTCATTTCTCATATTAATGTTACATACCATTTTGAATTATATCTGTATATATATGGGTGTTGTGTAGATGGAAATATATATAAAAATGGGCCTGTTGTTCGAAGATGATTACGATTTAGAGTCTTTCGCTTTCATTTGGTGAACTGTTTTGTTCGCCACTTTCGAGCATTCTGAGGTGAACTATATGCAGGAGACAAAATACAGAGAATGTTCCATGCCACCAGCTAAGTGATTACTCAGATAGAAGAGAGGAAGAACTACGGAGTTAGATATACGAAATATAGATTATTCAAATTGTCATTTATTTCTCTGTTAAAGTAGTCACTGCTTCACATTGTCGAAAATCATCTTTCATATACTTTAATTTGAAAACTTCGTTCCTCTTTCCCTCTGTAAGAGTTTCTTTTATTTTTTTCATTCTTTCATTTACTCACAATTCTGCGTGCTTCTTAATCAATTCTACCAACTTCGGAGGGTTTGCTCCAATGATAGTGTCAACCTTTTTACCATTCTTGAAAAACAAACAAGTTGGCATGGCCGTTATACCGTGCTCGTGTGCTACTTTCTGGTTGTCGTCCACGTCGACCCTTCCAAATTGCACTTCTGGAACCTTTTCTGCTAATGAATCAAAGATTGGTTCTAACGCCTTACAGGGCCCACACCAGGTTGCATAAAAATCGATCACTGACACTTTATCATCTTTGACGAATTGGTTAAATTGTTTTAAATCTGAGATTTCACGCACCTTAGAGAGCGATCTGATCGAGTTAACAGATGAAAACTTGGGTAAGCTACTTCTTAAAGCAGTACGAAACATTGTATCTACGGTGGAAAAGAAATGAGTAAGCTTTGCGCTAAAGTCCAGTGTGGAGAATCGCAAATAAATTTGTCAGAGCAAAAGAACAGGAAAACTAGACAAAATTCAATTCCTGCACATAGTCCGATTTTTTTTCAGAAGAGCTCATCTCATGAATTTTCGATTTTTCAACTATGCTAAAGGCATAAAATGTTACTTTCATACTTACTTTAGAACATTAATAGAATAAAATGGGATCCAAAGACAGAGGAACGAAACGTTCTGCACCACAACAGAAAAATGGCGCTGCAGTTCCAGTGAAAAAGACCAAGGTTGCTCCAAAGAAAGAGATAATTCCAGAGTCTTCATCCGAAGAGGAAGATGATGAGGAAGATGAAGAGATGGACGATGTCTCTTCCAGCGATGATTTATCTGACTCTGAAGACGAATTAGACGAATTAGATGAGTTAGATGACACTGAAAGTAAAGTCACATCTGTAGCAGAATCCGCTTCTGAGTCAGACTCAGACTCAGACTCAGATTCGGAAACTGGCTCAGACTCAGAATCTACCAAGGAATCAGGTGCTGCATCTTCGGAAGACCCTAATAAGAAATCCTCTAAAGAACAGCACGCGGAGCAAAGAAAGGTCCTTGCTGAAAGAAAGTTACAGAGAAAGTCCGGTCAGGAAGTCCAACAAATCAAGAACTTGTGGGAAAAATTGAGAGTCAAGAAGCCAACTCCTCCAAAGCAAGTGAGAGACAAATTATGTGATGAAATTTGGAACTTATCCAAGGATTGTATTTTAGATTTGGTTATGAAGCATGATGCCTCTCGTGTCGTTCAAACTTTGGTAAAGTTTGCTTCCAAGGAAAGAAGAGACATTGTCGTTTCATCATTAAAGGGAAATTACTACACTTTGGCTACATCTTCATACGGTAAGTACCTTTTGGTGAAGTTGTTGCATTATGGATCCAAGGAATCTCGTACTCTCATCGTCAATGAGCTACACGGAAAATTGAGAAAGTTGATGAGACACAGAGAAGGTGCATACGTTGTAGAGGATCTCTTCGTATTGTACTCTACTGCTGAACAAAGGCAGCAGATGATTAGAGAATTCTGGGGTTCTGAATATGCTGTTTTCAGAGATTCTGGTAAAGGAAAGACTATTTTGGATATAGTTGCTGAATCCTCAGAAAAGAAGCATCTTATAATGACCAATTTGATTGGTACTATAACTGCGTCTATTGAAAAGGGATCCACTGGTTTCCAAATTTTGCACGCTGCTATGAAGGATTACGTAACTGTGTTATTGTCTGACCCAGCTGCTCACGATAAGGAACTAAGAGAATTCATTGAACTACTTACAGAGCAATTTGCTGAATTGGTCCACACACAAGAAGGTAGCGAAGTTGCATGCCAATTAATAAGTGTAGCCAACGCTAAGGAAAGAAAATTGATTGTTCGTGGATTGAAAAGTCATGCCAAGGAATTAATTAAAAATGACAACGGTAATTTGGTCCTCATCACTCTCTTCATGACTGTGGATGATACTGTTATGTTGCATAAATCATTCAGCACTGAATTGTTTACCAATGAACTTTTACCTAACCTTATTAGTGAAAAATTCTCGAGACGTCCATTACTTTATTTGTTGAAGGGATTGGATGGTAAGTACTTCGCTCCAGTTGTTACCAAGCCATTGAAAGCTTATGAAACCCTTGCATATAACACAACCACTAAGAAACCTCAAGAACAAAGAAGATTAGAAATCTTGGATAGAGCTTTACCATTAATTTACCAATCAATTTTAGCATTAGAGGAACATGACTTGATCACCTTATTATCAGTAAATATTGCTGCACAATTCATCACAGAATTAATACTTACCCCTACCACTGTTGAAGAAGTCAACACTAAATTAAGACCTGAATTGCTTGCTTTGCTCTTTAAGCTTTCAGTACAAGGAGACATATTGGAAGATTTTCATTTGATCAATAAGGTTCCTTTTATCACAAGATCATTGAAGGCATTGATTCAAGGAAATGAATTCAAGTGGGATAATGAATCTAAGAAGTTAATTTTGATTGAAGATAATGAAAAAATAAGTGGTGCTGGTTTAGAATTTGCTACAAAGGTTACTGAGGAGATTTTATCCGATTCTAAAACATTAGACAACTGGGTCGCTAACGGTCAAGGTTCATTTGTGATAGTTTCTGTCTATGAAGTATTGCAATTGCTGACCACTGAACAACAGAAGTTTAAAGAACTTCAAAAGGCATTGAAAAAGGTCAAAAAGAATTTAGTTAAAGATACTGACAACAAGGGTGCCCAATTATTAGCTAAACTTATCTAATGAAGACACAACGAATCAGATTTGTTTTGAACAAATCGAACTAAAAAAAAGAGAGACGTACGAGAGGGTACTACATGACAAGCATGTCTTGTCTCTCTTTACAAGAGGATTTCCTTTTCTACTGTAATTTAGATTAAATAAAACTAACATCTTCCTAAAATAAATATGTAAGAATATTATTGCAGCATATTCTGAGAAATTGCCGTTTTGGGATTCTAGATCGTAGGTGCTGCACTCTGAGAAATGGCTGCAATTCTTCTATTCAGTGTACTCTAAGCTTCAAGTGCTATCAATTCACGTGAAAGACTAGTCATTTTTACATCGCTACGACTCGGGTTTGTATTTCTTTTCTCCCATTTCTCTGTTATCTTTTACTTAATTATTCTGTTTGTGGTTGGCACAAATAGGAAGTCACTATATAATGAACTTAGTTTTTATCTTAAAACTGTAAAGTCATT